CTTTTCAAATGCTGTTTGTCTTCTTTTCTATCTCCTCCTTCTTTTTCAAAATGACACCCAAAGGTGGTTAGCCTAAAGCTAGGTTCAGGGTGGTCTTTCAAAGCTCCTCCTCCCCTTCTGCATGTATTCCTTTCCCTCTATCTAGTCTAAAAAATTTAGTTTAAAAAATCGTATAAGGTGTAGGAATTAACAAAAGATGTGCTAGATCTTCATGCAAAAAATTATAAAATTTGTTTAAAAGATATTGTAGAGACAAATAAACAGAGTGGTATACTATATCAGTCAGGATTCTCCAGAGAAACAGTATGGGGGTGGGGAAGAGACAGACAGAAAGACACTTATTGTAAGGTATTTTGGCTTACACAATTATGGAGGCTGAGAAGTCATAAGATCTGCTGTCTGCAAGGTGGAGGCCCAGAATGGCCACTGATACAGTTCAAAGGCCTGAGTGCCAGAGAGCAGATGGTATAGATTCTAGTCAAGGTCTGAAGGCTTGAGAACCAGGACAATTGAGGGCAGAAAAAGACCAACGTTCAGCTCACGCAGTCAGGCAGAGAGTAAGTAAATCCTCCCTTCCTCTACTTTTTTCTTCTTAGAGACAGAGTGTCACTCTGCTGCCCAGGCTGGAGTGCACTGGTGCACTCGCTGCAGTCTCAAACTCCTGGGCTTAAGCAGCTCTCCCATCTCAGCCTCCTGAGTAGCAAAGATAGGTGCATGGCACCATGCCTGGCTAATGTCTTTATTTTTTGTAGAAAGGGGGTTCCACTAGGTTGTCCAGGCTGGTCTCCAACTCTTAGCCTCAAGTGATCCTCCTGACTTGGCTTCCCAAACTGCTGGGATTACAGGTGTGAGCCACTGCACCCGTAGTCCTTCCTCTTATTCCTCTACCTTTTTATTCATTCACGCCCTCAAAGGATCAGGTGATGTCCACCCACACTGAAGAAGAAAATCCACTTTGTTCAGTCTACTGATTCAAATGCTAATCTCTTCTAGAAATATCCTCACAGACACACTCAGAAATAAGGTTTAACTAGATAGCTGGGAATCCTGTGATTCAGAGAAGGTGACACAACTAACACATGTACCATTTTCATATATTAATAGAAGTCAATTCTCCCTCAATTTATCATGGATTCCATGCAATTCCAATAAAAATCTCAATAGTGCTTTTCATTGAACTTTACAAGCTACTTGTAAAAACTACATGCAGGAGAAAAGGGACAATAATAACCTTTTCTGAAAAAGATCATGGCATCTGGGTGCTGAAATGGATGTGGGAAGGCAGACTACCTGCCATTCCATGTATCAAGATTTATTATAAAAATACAGTAATTAAAACAGTGTAATATTGACAAAGGATAGGCAAATTGACCAGTGGGACAAAATAGATAGCACAAAAACAGAGCCACTCAAAATAAAAGAAAAGAAAAAACCCTTGATATATTACTATGGTGGAATGGTAGATCTACATAGAAAGGATAGGCTATTTGAAAACATTCTTAGAATAACAGGTTATCCACATGGAAAAACCCTAATTGGATCCCTAGCACTGGCTATAAACAAAAGTCAACACCATATGGATTAAGTCCTTTAAAACGAAATGTGCATAGCTTGAATGCAAAATCTCATTCGCACTCCTAATGAGAAAATGGGAGACAAGAAAGAGTGCAGTAAGACATAAAGCTTACTGACTCTCCATCCCTTACAGGGTATATTAGTTTCCTCTTGCTGCCATAAAAAATTAACACAAATTTAGCAGCTTAGAACAGCACAAATTTATTATCTCACAGTTCTATAGGATAAAAGTCTGCAGTGAGTCTCACTGAGCGAAAATCAAGGCATTAGCAGGGCTATGTTCTTTTCTGGAGACTCTAGGGGAGAACTTATTTTTACACTCATTCAGGTGTTGACATAATTCAGTCCCATGCAGTTGTGGAAACAAAGTCCCTGTTTCCCTGCAGACTATCAGTTGAGGGCCATTTCCAGCTTCTTGAGGCACCCATATTCTTTAGCTTGTGGACCCTTTCCTACCACTTCAAAGCCAGCTCTAGAGGGACAGGTCCCTCCCATCTCATTTCTCCTGCCCTCTCTTCTGCCGAATCCCTAACTCTTTGTCCTTCTTATTCCATTTTTATCTCCCCATCTCAAGGTCCCAAACATTGATCATATCTGCAAAGCTGCTTTTGTTATGTAATGTAACATATTCACACGTTCTGGGGATTACGGCATTGATATCTTTGGGTGACCATTATTCTGCCCTTACAGGGAAATTCTACCACACAGGGAAACTGAGGTTGGTCCATGTTTGCACTAACCCTGTGTGTAGTTTGAACATCCTTACACAATGCCTCAGCCCCACAGGCAAGGGTGAAGGGGAGAGTACATAGAAAATATCCCCTACCTTCTTCTCATGTCCTTTCTGCTCACCTGTATTTAGTTATTGGGTTTTTCTTGCCAGGATGTGTGGGGTTAAAGCAGACAGGAAGATGAAGAATTTAGAACTGATTTCCTAACATTCAACATTAATCTAATAATTGGAACAAATGCCTTTTCTCTAACTACTCATGACTTGTCCAAAGTTTAGGGAAGAAAAGAGTAAAGCAGGAGCAAAAATGTAGTGCCATTAAAAGAAAAACAGCAGCAAATTCCCCCTTTCCTTAAGAATTCAATCCAGGAAGTTTCCATACTTAGGATGAGAGGAAGAGCCTAGCTCATTTGAATCATTTATCAAATGTCACTGTGTACCACACACAATGCTACATGATTCCAAAAACCTTTCTTAATTCTTTAAACTAACCTACATAGTACCTATGTATAGTTATTACCCTGTAAATGAGGAAACTCAGTCTCAGAATGGTGGTCATTACCTAAGGGAACAAGTGTCAAAGCTAGATGTAAACGTAGATCTGCCCCAGCCCAAGGAAATTTCCTCTCCCTGACTTTCCATAGCAAGAAGGCAAGATTAAGGCTTGTTATACTCCCCACACTGTACCCCTCAGTGTCATTAAATGACAGTCTCAATGGTATTGCCCTCCTTTCCCAACCTTTCTCTTGCTCAGACGTTAGTGACTTCCAAATGCAAGTCTGGAGTTATTTAACTTCTTGTAATCATTATACACTTACCTCTTCTGCATGGTCACTGTCCCCAGGTTGATTATGTTATCATTCAGGCTAGTCTTTCTGCAACGACTACTGAGCTGTGGGCCTGGATTATCTTTTCTTTTTCTTTTTAAACTACTTTATTGAGGAATGATTGAGATACAAAAAGCTATATTGAATGTATACAACCTGAAGAGTTTGGAGACAAGCTCTTTAAGCTCTTGTTCCTTTTTTTTTTTTTTTTAGTAGGCTTCAAAGAAACAAAGTAGGGTGCTGAGACTGTGGTCTCTGGATCAATCTCCACTGGAACGTACAGGAACAAGGAGACCTAGTTGTAACCACACATTATCTCACTGCTATTCCTCTCCCTTCAAGGAGTTATGGTTATCAGGAAAAAAAGCCAATTAACAATCTGCTTAATTTCTGTAGTGATTATTAATCAACTATAAAATTTCAACATAAAATCCCAACACCTTATCGCAAGTACAAAGCTCTGTGTGATTTGCTCCTGTCTCTTCGGATGCGTCTTGTCCCTCTGCACTCCTCACGCTGCTCTAGCCACACCGGCCGAGGCCGGCTGTCCCCAAATCTTGCATGACCTCTCCCACATACTCTGCTCCAAGTTCACCTCCAATCTTCCTACTGCTGCCCTAGTCCCTAGCTGCTGAGCACTTGAAATGTGCCTAGTCTGAACTGAAATATGCTGGAAGTAAAGGAAAAATGCAGGCCGGGCGCGGTGGCTCACGCCTGTAATCCTAGCTCTCTGGGAGGCCAAGGCGGGCGGATTGTTTGAGCTCAGGAGTTCGAAACCAGCCTGAGCAAGAGCGAGACCCCCGTCTCTACTAAAGATAGAAAGAAATTAATCGGACAACTAAAAATATATAGAAAAAATTAGCCAGGCATGGTGGTGCATGCCTGTACCTACTCGGGAGGCTGAGGCAGGAGGAACGCTTGAGCCCAGGAGTCTGAGGTTGCTGTGAGCTAGGCTGACGCCACGGCACTCACTCTAGCCCGGGCAAAAGAGTGAGACTCTGTCTCAAAAAAAAAAAATGTACACCGGATTTTCAAGACTTAGTAAGAATAAAAGAATGTAAAACATCTCATTAATAGTTCCATATTGATTACATGTTGAAATGATAATATTTAACATATGTTGGATTATTATTAAAATTAATTTAACCTGTTCCTTTACACGTTTTCTAAGGTAGCAATTCGAAAATCTAAAATGACATTCGTGGTTCGCACTGCATTTCCATTGCACAGCGATGCTCTGTCGCTTTACGCTCTTTCGCTTCCCTCTTGGCACCCACCCTGTGTGGAATTTCACTACCCAGGTAGACCCCTTTAGTCTTTCTCGCTCAACTAGAATGTAAGACAGGAACCTGTCCGTCTCATTCACACCTGATTCCCAGGCACTGAGGACAGAGCCTGGAGCATAGCAAGTACTTCATATTTTTTGAATAAATGACCTTACTCTTCCTCAGCTGGAGACGGTGAACTCTGTCGACCCCCAAAACTCGGGGTCTGAAGTACTGTGGGTTACGCCCGCTGCTCAGCCCCGAGCACATGCTCGTGACCCTGGGAGGAAGGATGGCTAGAACTCCCCACTTGATAAAACCTCCTTCTCCGTCGAAAGAACTGGTCACACAACCTCGACGGTGTCTCACGGTGAGAGACCTCGCTTCTCGGTTCTCTTTGTGCTTGGAAACGCATCCCACGGCCCGCACTGGGCACTTCTCCCTCCCGCCACACGGCGGCGTCTCACGAGCGGCGGCCGATGGTACAGTCCGTTCTCCCCGCGCCCCTCAGCAGTGGGTCCTTCCACTCGTAGAAAAGCACTGTGGGAAAGCGGAGCGGCCTTTCCCGCCTCCCGTGCTCGTTCTGGGCTTTCTGCGCTGGGGGCTGTGGGATGGCGGCTGGCCTGGGCGGGCCGCGTGGCCCCCCAACGCCGCGGCGCCAGGCAGGGCAGCCGCCACCGTGAGCCTGGAGAAGCGTCCGCGGCGGCGTCCGAGGCTCTCTGACCGTGAGCGCGTGGAGGGCGGCGACCTGGCCTCGGCCACAATCTCCGGGGGACCGCGGGAGGGCCGTAGGCGGCCTTCGGCCTGCGTCCCCTTGCCCGGAAATGGGGAGAGTCGTTAAATGGATTTGTGTTTATTGATCATCGACTGTATGCCGGGGAGTTTTTAATAGAAGCGGTTTGGGGTTTTTTTCGTGTGAGTAAAAAGGCTGCGCGGTATAACTGCCTTTATGCCTTCCCTGCCACGGTGTAAAATTAGTGTAGAAGCAAAGCGCCATTTAAGGTGCAGATGATTTAAAACGTTTCCAGGTGCAGCACTTGGCGGGTATTGAGTATCGCCAGTTCTGCAGGTGAGTTTTGATGTTGCGAGAAAAACCAGCTGCCTCGGGCTTTTAAGAATTTTAACCAAGCATGTAAAAACTACTTTGCATTTTAATTTTCATTACGAACTCGGTTTTGAACCATAGGAGGAAATTTCTCCGCAGAGAAATTGTTCCCATTCAACCTTTTATCAGAACAGTTAATTTCTGGGCCAATCAGCAACCTATGCAGTAAGTGCAGCCTTTGTGTTGCCCATTCACTTTCGAAACTAGTGGATGTGGTGTCAAAAAAGGCGTAAATTAAATGCTTTGCAGCCTTTTCCTGCCCTTAAATTTGGTATCTTTGGTGTAGGAGCTGCGTAAGTAACAGTTAACGCTTTTGTTTACACATGTGATCTCGAGCCTGCCAGCGGTAAGAATATGGTTTCTTTTAACCAGTTTTAACTAATTTTTGTTCAGGTGAAGATGGATGCTTGAAGCATAGACTGCTGCTAGCTGAGAACCACGTGGGAACACCAAGGTCACTTAAGGTAGTGTGATATTGTAATTACACCATAAGGCACTTAGTAATGGGGCTTTCATCACCTTTTAAATTGAGGTGCCCTCTCTAGTATTAAAATGGCATTAATGGCTCATTGGTATTAGTACTACATCTGTAATTATCAAGATGATGTTAACAGCAAAGGGGACAGCCTCCCAGCTCTTTTTTTTGTGACAGTTTTGTTTTTTCTCAGTATCCCAGAGGAACAAATATACACAGTACTGGCGTTCTGGATCTCTTAATATTTGTGTTTTTTTTGTGTAGTAGCTAGATTTTAAAACCTGCCAAATTTCAGATATGTTTTATCTTGACATTTAGAGCCAAATCTGGAAATACATAAGCAATACTAAAAGCATGTAATGAGAGTTTTATTACCAAGTTCTTTATCAAGATGTGACAAATGTAAATACTTCCTGGTCAAATTAAGTGCTTTATTTTTTTCTCTTAGGATGTCCTTGGTGAGGATTTTGAAAATTTGATCTTCGCAAGAGTTGATTGGATCGCTTAGAAATTCTGGGAGCGTGAGGAGTACTGAAATAATTGCCTTTGAATGGCCCATAAACATTTAAGACAATGGGGATATGAATAAATATTTTAATGTGCTTGAGATTTGTTTTAAATGATTAACTGCCAGATAATAGCTATTACTGAAAAATTAAAGGGTTTCTTTTCCCCCTTCGCCCAGCAACATAAAAGTTGTTAAACCTCAGCAGTTAAGATCAATATTAACTGCTGTTACCGTAACTGATAGCCTTAAGATAGCCTGTGCTTGGCCCAAAGAGAAGTAAGTGCTTTCTTCCAGTGACTCATGATAGAACTAGATTAGGTGATTTTTAGATCAAATGTGTGCTTTACCTGCACTCACTGCGTACTTTGTTTTCCAACTAGATTGTTCATGTTCACTTAAGGTTGGCTTAAACTTTGCAGGAAAGAACAAATAGTGTGTTCAGGCATTCAAAAGATTTTATTGAAAGTGATGTACTAGGAGCTGAGAACACAATGGTAAGCACAACACAATTCCTCCCTTTGGAAGCTTACAGCCGAGTGGAGGGAATGTCATCACAAATGCAAAACTTCCATCCATCGTGAGATGAATCCCATGGTAGGATTTCACCAGGTGAGGGAAACCTGAGAAAGCAGAGCTAAGACTGAAGGTAGGGTTTTGGGGGGGGGGGCAAAGCAAAAGTGGGGGAATGACATGGAGAGACACCTTTGGCTAGAAAAAAGATACAACCATGAGTCCAAGAGCTCTGAGAGTTTTGGCTGCTTTCTCTCTTCCTGTTTTGGAATTGAATGTGATGAGGCTTGTAAGCTGGCTATTAAGGGAGGTGGGGTTGTTACATGTCTTAAAAGAGGTAGGTAAAGAACCCAGACCACTTAAGGCTCCCAGCTTTATTAAAGCATGCAAGGGAAATACATGGTAGAAATCAGATTTGTAAGAAAAGGGATGTAAGTGGTGCTATTAGGCCACTACTGTTTAGGCAAGAGATGACCAGCTTGGAACAGTGGCAAAATAAGTTAAATAAGATTGTTTATAGTTTGAGGGCAAAGCCAATTAGGAGGTGTTCATAATGAGTGGTGGGTGTCTCGCTTTGAACATTCACAAGCATAATGGCACTGGATCTAGCTAGGGAGTAGTGGCATGTAACTAACTGAATTTAAATTACTGTCCTGGCAGTAGAACACAAGTCTGTAGTCTAACCTTAAGGCCATGGGTATAAATGAGATCTGCCTGGGGTAGAGGAAGGAGGGCGTAGGTCTGAAATTTGAGAAACTTCAATAACTAATGGCATAGTAGAACAGGATGAGTTGCGAAGGATGGTCTGAATGGTAGGAACAAAACAGCATTACAGCACAGAAGCAAAAGGAACATTACAAGTCCTAAAAAGTCTCCTTGGGATCTAATGACATGGTGATTTTAGTGGAGTAGTAAGAATCCATATTAGAGATAGTTTAAAATGGGGATTAGATGAATTGAGGGCACTGACCAAAGGTAGTCCTCTGAAGAAAATTAGCTGAGAATGGGAGAGAAAAATAATAGTAGCTATAGAGGGATTTGTGGTTGTGAATCTTGCGGCTTAATTTTTAGATCTTGGTCAAGTTTCAAACCAAGTAGCAAGGATCTAGCTTAAAGAGGTGGGATACATTAACACAGGAGAGAGCAGAGGCGAATCATGAGAAGGAAGAGGTGGACTCCAAAAGCACAGGTGGAGGGACAGGAAAGGGATTGTATGTGATAAGGGTATGATAAAAGGTGTCTTGCATAAATACTTTCCCTGTAAGTTGCAAAGTCATCTGGGGAGAGGAAAGGTCTGAAATAGCCATTGGGGAGAGTGGGCAAGTTAGATGGCCAGGGAGGGTCAGGGACCATTTGAGGTTGACAATCTGAGGTTAACTGAAATCCACACTTAGCCTTTTCTTTTTTTCTGAAAACACAAGGACACTTAAGAAACTAAAAGCAACACTTAACAAACAAAGCTTTTTACATCATTTGTAAATAACTGGTAGAACATAACACCACAAAATACAGTATTACAAAGAACTTAATACTTATAGGAATAAAAATATCTGCAGTCTGAAAGTGAAGCCTCAGTCCTTGTGCATCTGGCCACTCTGAGAATCAGCCAGAGTTGGGAAGACTTCTCCTTCCACTTGATGTAGTATTGCACAACAAGCAAGCTGCAGTCCAGAATTCCAGAACCTTGATCGGCAGCATCTGGTGTTGGTAGTAGCAAATGCAGGCACAAGATACTTTGTTTCAGGAAGGAAAATGTGGCATTAAGTCAATTTTTACAAAACTATCCTTCCAGTTAAAAAGGCCCTTCAGCACATGTATGCTGTAGCTTAACCTTTAAAAGAATCAAAAGTTGCTGAAGAAATACTTGCAGGTCCAAGATATTTGAATAAAATAACCTAATTCACAGTTTCAAAAGTACCAGTGGCACATACACCCTCCCCACCCCCATCCCCGGCCCTTCTCCATGATCAAGTCTCTAGCTTGAGGCGGGAAGCTTGGACAGTTTTTACTGTTTTTGCTGTGTGTTTCCCAGCTAGGTTGTTTGTGGATGTCTGAGACTTTTCTTCAATCAGGCTGTCTTTAGACCCGTTTCTTCTCTAAAAATATATTTGAAAAAAAGATTAAGAAGGAAGTACAGCCAAATCAGGTATTTTTATTAAAACATCAGAAACTACTAAAGCTTGTCTTCCATTTAAGATACCAAGTTATAACTCAAAAAAGTATACTACCAAAAACTGTTCAAATATTCCTTCTAAATACATAACAGAAAATAAACAGTTTATGTGTTTAATAAACACATGTTGCTTAATATAGTTAAGTCTGACAGTTGTGTGTATAATGAGAGTTTTATTCATTAAAATTAGGCATAATTAACCAAATAAGTGTCCTTGGGTAGATAATTTCTAAATCAGGCTTTCAACCTTCCTTCCCACTTTTCCAAGCAGGGGCAGAGATTAGGAGAACAGAGAGTTGGGTAATTTTTAATCCCCTGATTATATTTTCAGGAGCCACTGCATGAAATGATGTCTTGGGAATGGAGATACCTGTCATTTTATGAGGACAGAGGACTCGAGAGGTCTTGTAATACGAGTGGCCCCATCATTGGAGAAAAGGGGAGCTGAGTTACCAGAGCCTGCGCCCCACATCCAGTACTTCTGGAATTAGGTCTTATACGTCTCCTACAGCCATAGGTGGGGACCCTGAAAATGGCACTAACCGTACTTCACAACAGCTCCGTTCTCTGCTCACTCCTCCTGCTCTCACCTCCAAGTAATAAAATCCTTTATGAAAAGGATTTGTTCTTTAAAATTTGGATTCTGTCAAAAAGCCACACTCAAGGATCCAGAAGGCCACGTGTGGCCCCGAGGCCGCAGGTTCCCCATGCCACAAGCATGTTTCCTTGCCCAAAAGTATATCTCCACACATAATGGGCTATACTGTCCAGAATTCTGTTATTTTGAGATGGGTTTGGGCTAAATACAAATTACGCTTTAAGAAGTAATCATTCGCCTGTTCCTATGACTTGCTTAGTTTGTTTTACTGACATTCAAAGAAGCACCAAGTCTGCCTAGCACAGGAAGTATGAATCCATCTTTGGATGGAAGATTTCTAGGTTGTCTGCAGAGAAAACTAGTGCAAGTGAGAGAAGAATAGAGACTATAGCAAAAGAATCACCAGAAAAGGAGCTAGGAGGTGACCTAAAACAAACCCTTGTAGGTTTGTCTAAGATAGAATCTGTCCCCTCTGTCTGCAGACCAGAAGGAAATGAGTCCCTAATCTACCCCACTCTTACCAGCCTTTGTGTGAAAAGGCCAGGTGAGGTGTAGGGCATGCCACTGCCAGAAGTCTGGCACCATGGTGGAACTTAGGAAGTGCAACTTCCCTGCTTCCACTGGTCATTCCAGCTCCTCTACGTGGCAGCCGGATTAATGGCTTCTTTTTGGCACTTAGAATAAAATAAAATCCAAACCCTTTCCCATAGCCTTTAAGGCCTTGTGTTACCTCCCTCCCTCCCCACCTCACTATGCTCAGTCCAGATTGGTCTTTCAGCTCCTCAAATACCCAGGGCCTTTCCAGAGTCAGCATTTTCCCCATGTTTTCTCCTCTGCTTAGATCAGCCTTGTGCCCACTCACATGGCTGGTCCCTTACCTTCTAGGGCTCAGCTTTAAATGGCACTTTCTGAGATGGCCTTTCTGGCCACCTTAAATATCTAAAGTGAGGTCACCCTGTTGATTCTGTAGCTCAGGACTTTGTTTCTTCATAGTGCCTACTTAATTTTTAATTGTTTTACCCGTTTACTTTTATATATTATATGTTTAGGCCTAGTTCAGCAAACATTTTTTGAAAAGAGCCAGGTAGTACACTACATCCTGTGTCATGTATTACTGTTTATTTTTAAAAACCCATTAAAAGTATAAAAACCATTATTAGCTCCTGGGCTGTACAGAAATGGCAGCAGACTAGATTGGCCCATAGGCTATAGTTTACTGATTGCTTGGATTTGTTGAATTCAAAAGCAAAGTTGTCCTAGAGACGGGCTTAGAATCAGTGCCATTGATCAGAAGACGCATGTGAGCTATTCCTGTGTCCAGCAAAGTAAAAGCTAATCTTTCAACATACAATGTGAATAAATTTTAAAATTCCTGAGTGATGGTGAGGAAGTATAGAGTTAAGGAGTATAGAGTAGTTGGAAAAGCAAAAATATAATAAAATAAAAATTCCTATTTGTAGAGACTACCTAAAATTTAAGACAAAAAAAAAAAACCTTTGAAAGATAACTGCTTATAAATCATCACAATAACCCTAAAAGGTAGGCTGTCTACACTGTATAGAAATTGGTGCTTATCAACGATAAGTTAGGGTATACTTTAAAATAACTAAGAGTAGAATTTAAATGTTCCTAACACAAAGAGATGTTAAATGCCTGAGGTGATGGATACCCCAATTACCCTGACTTGATTAATTCACATTGTATGCCTGTATCAAAATATCAAATGTACCCCATAAAGGATATACAACTATTATGTAACCATAAGTAATTAAAAATACTAAATTTTTAAAAAGAAAGTGAGGCCTAGAAGTAGGATGCTCAAAGTCATACAAGTTGTAGAGATTAGGAGATACAAATAATGCAGATGAGGAGACAAATAATACAGGTCAGTTTGAATGCAAATATAATTTTTGAAAAAGTGCTATCAACTTGAAACAAGTTGTTTGGACAGCCTATTAGCTACCCAGATTTATCTAATCAAATATGCAGACTGTAATAGCTGCGTTAAGTGCTCAGACCTCCATTTCAGACTGAGGCATTCATTCTCCCAGCAGCTGGGAATATTAGGCTGCTGTGCAGCTCAAAACTGAACCCCGATCCCAAGGTTTGCCCCCTCCCAGGGGAACCCTTATCCAATGACTGCTACATGGTGACTGTGAGGATATGGAGGTCCAACCTGCTGTGTCAACGTGGGATGAATCTAAAGGGCCATCTCAGAGCTCTAGAGCTCCCTTTGGGATCAACTGATGTCTTTGGTGGGATTGTATTACACAGTTCAACTCTTCTGCCTAAACTGTCTTCCACTCCCTAACACGTGTTGATCCTGAGGGTACCTTCCAATAAATTTCCTACAAGCAAATCTCCACCTCAGAATCTGTTTCTAGGGAACCCAACCTAAATTAGCACAGGCCTTGCTCAAGTCTTTGATAAAAATGAGACAGGGCAAACAGGGCAGCACATGATGGGCACTGCTTAGGCGGTTCATGAACTCCCTGGATTTCTATACAAAGCTGTACAATTGCTTACATACATTTTTATGGGGCAAGAAACAGAAGTGATCCAAGACTGAAAACCACTGCAAACAACAGGCTGACACTGATCCATCATATAAACATCAACTTTGTTTTTAGTGTGGTTGTTTAACCAGATATAAATCCATCCAACTGTCTCACGCAGCCCACATTTTTTCCATCTTTTTAAAAACTATACCATGAGAGATGGTGTCAAACACCTTCTTGAATTATGTCTGTTTGCTCCCCTGATACATCTGTCTAATTCAGCTGAGTGTTAAATTGACTTTATTAAGGCAGCTACGTGCTCTATGTCCCTGAATTGCTTTTTAATCACATTTTAAAAACATTTCCAGGATAAAAGTAATTCTCCTTGATGGAGAAGGCAGAAATAAAATAGGACTTGAGCAATTTTTCTGTCTGCTGTCAGTTCACAACAGCACATCTGCCCCCTGTGAGTCTATCTCTTTCTCTTTGTTTCTCTGGCCCAAAACAATACCTAAAAGGTTTTTTGGGTTTTTAGCTTGTTTGTTTTTAATTATTGAAGCTATTGTTTCTTTATTCTGGCTCCAAACGATCTTACAATCTTTGTTACCCTGGGCTTCACCCCACTACGTCTACCTCTCCCTCCAGCAGAACTCTTCCCAGGTTGTGCCTTGGCTCTGCATCATGCACTCCTCCTGCCTTCTCTTCCCATGCTCTCTGCGTGTTCTTTTAAAATGCAGAATCTCAGAAGGAAGCTAAAGATTCACTGCCCTACCTTACCCAAGCACAGGAAGCTTCTCAAAATTGTCAGCAGTACAACACCTTCTTGAAACCTCATCTTTACTGACCTGATGAACTGCAGAGCCACCAGAACCCTGAGCATCCGAAGAACGGGTCACCGGAAGCGGCGGTACAAGTTCCGTTTTCGAACTGCAGAGAGTGAGTTTCAGAATTAATGATTGGAAACAGAAATTAAGTTGGAATAGGGCTACAGTGTAGAAAGAGAACATTTCCATCAGCACGGAAAGTTCTCTTGCACTCTGCATCTGGAGCCCTGACGGTGGTGACGTGCTGGGCCTGCCACTTACTTCACCTCCGAGAGAACCGACCGCTCCCCGTCCGAACACTGGGACCGGCGGTACTGGCGGTAGCTCCGCGGCGAATGGGAGTGCCTGATGCGGACCGGGTCGCCCTGCGTCCTGAACGAGCAACCAGAAAACATGAGAACACACCCTGGGAGGCAGAACAGGATGATCTGGAGTTCTTCCTTAATATTGAAACCACAAAAAAGAATAATGACTTTCAGAGTTTTAAAAAGAATTTGACTCCTGTGGCCTTTGAAAGACTGAGTGACAAATTTTACAAGTTAACAAAAAATGCTCCCATGACCATATGTGAAGATGAACTCTTTATATATATGTGTGTGTGTGTGTGTGTGTGTGTGTATTTTTTAACCACCAAATTTTAAATGAAATTATTCCCCATGGTTGAATTCTTTTTAATAGTGTGGAAGAAAAAAAATTCTATAGTGCAGACAAAATGACATTCCTATCAGAAAAAGTTGGTCATTGTCCTAGCTACTAAGTAGCCTGTCATTAAGAATTCAATCTTTATTTGAAAATTGCTAAGAGTAGATCCTAAATGTTCTCACCACAAAAAAAGAATTATGTGAGATGATAAATATGGTAATGAATTTGATTTAATAATTTCACAATGTATACGTATATCAAAACATTATATACAATTTTTATTTGTCAATATACCTTAATAATAAAAAAAAGAATTCACCTAAAGATGGGGGCAGAGGGTAGCCGGGGTATACCAACCTGCTATTTGACTGAGGTGGGAAAGCAGCATGGGGTGCAGAAGCAAAATAAAGCAGGCACTCGCTTCCTCCTAACCAATTACGTAGCAAGGCAGAACACAGTAAATAGGTATAGTGTGTCCTATCCTGACGGGTGACTAGGAAATCCTGTTATGTTCTCCCGAAGCCTGTTCAGATATGCTAGTTGTATGACAGGGATTGGATTGGGCTTATATGACAAGAGTTTTTGTGGTAAACATAATTCTCTTGGTTTTAAAATAATGGATAAAAATAAACTTTGTCCCCAATCAATGAATATCTCAGAAAAAAATTATTTTAAAACTGACATTAATCATCAAAAGTTCCTTTGTACCTACCACATACAAATAGGCAGCTAATGGGAGATGATAGTGATTGTGGTGCACAATAATAATAATGAGCTTTAATACACCCTTATCTACTTCTTTCCATACAGTCACCTTTAATTTTGGCTAAAATACAAAGACAAATTAAAGCACTACATGAAACACAACAGAAGAGTAAGAATGGATTACTCATAAACACTAATAAAACTTTTGTAAAAGAATTTTCAAAAATATACTCACTCTATTTTAGTGTATGGAATCTCTCTTAATTGTTCTTCTGACAATCCAGATGGATCTACAAGTTCCTTTCTAGAAAGGAATAATCAAGAAAATGATAGTTGTGATATTGGTATAAACGCTAATATCTTTTATAATCAGATTAAGTTTTCCCTTTGTAACCTTGTCCCAAAACACAGTGTCAGTAAAAGTAATATAAGCTGGAACAAAGATTTAAAAACTAGACTGTATTCAAGAAAAAAAAAAAAACAGAAGGAAAACTTTTCCTGTAGCTTTTTGCCTTCTTTTAGTTCATCTACATCCAGACTCTTCAGTCATTCCCTATTTCTCTATAAAGGATCTGCTTCTCTCCTCTGGTGGTTGTCTTTTATTCTTCTGAATTTGTTTTCCTTGGTATTTATTTCTAATTTTTTGGCCTGTCTGAGGTCCACTTACAGGCGAAACTAAGTGACCTTAAGTGAGGAGGTGGCAGGGCTGCCTGTAGACAGGTGGCTGGCATGGAAAGGCACCACCACCATGTGCTCCACACAAGATGGTAACAAGACTATTTGGCAGGCTTCAGCCTGAGGCTGCCTCTCAGTATCAGGGGTCTTTCTTGTAGCTGCATTAAAACTACGTGGGTTTTAAAACAATGAAAAAAATAAAACCCAGTACTCACTGAATGTGCTTCCATAACTCTTCTTTTGCTTGGATATCGGGACTTCTCCTATAAATGGAGAGAATAACACTCATCTCAGCAAACATGCTTCATCTAGCAACCTAATAGCTAACTTTAATAGTTTTCAGACTGTGAAGTTCTTATTTGCCAGCTGAGACCAGACAAAGAAACATTGGGCAGGGAGAGCTAATGTGATGGTTAGTACAAAGACACCAAGTAATTTATCTGCTACTGCCACTGAAGAAAGATCACATAAAACCCACTCATAACCAAAGCTGCATTAAATGAAAGAGCTCAGACTTGCACAGCCATATCCACACACCCTCCAGTGGCGACTGTACAGCGAAGAATGATTCGGGGCTTCTGTTTCTGGTCCTTCTATTAATATATATTTATAAAGACAAAAGAAGAACTCACCTGATTCTAAACAGTCCCAACATGATCTGTGATTACCTAGTAGAAGCAAAAACCATAAGGGAAAAGCAACTGATGGGATGGCCCAGGTGACAGACTACGTACCAATGACCCATCTCATGTTATGGTTGGTGTTGCATTTCCACATCAAAACTTGGGCCTGCAAATGCTACAAGCTATCTGTGGCCTTGGCGTTTGCTGCCATCCTCTGTATTCCCTTCTCCATCCCTAACTATCGACCTCACAAATCTTTTCTCCTCCAAGAACTACTTGAGTAAACATTATACCACTAACTTCCTAGACCCAAAAGCAGCCTTCATGTGTTTGCCGCTCTCTGTTGTATTAATTGTTACTCTCCACTGTAGCAATGAACACTAGCAATCTATTATCACTGCAATTGTTGCCACAGAATGATTTTTTTTCCTAGTGAGAAAATAAGCTTTTATCAGTCCCTTCAAGAGAACTGGGGTCTAATAATGGGCCCAAAGAAAGCACTCAAACACTAACAATTAAAAGGTCTGGGGCGAAGCAAAGCCACTGATACACTCTGTCCTGTGGAATTTTACATTATTAATCTGCATGAGCATTTGGGGGCTCAATATCACTTGCAACGTATGACATCCGCAATGCTTTCATTTTTCTCAGTTATAAGGGCACTACTGAGGCATTCCGGTAGGGCCTTCTGAGCCCACGGAATACCGTAAGCTACTTTCTAGCCATAGAATTGACCAAATGGTTTTTCTTTTGCAAGAAAAAAAAAAAATCTGACTGTGAAGACCTTTTAATCAACTTAAATGGAGATAAAACATGGAAGATAAGGAAGAAGAGGTGAAGCCTAGGTCTTAGACCACGTATGGTACTGTTAAATGTAGATTTTGTCATAAGAATGAAACTGTATGTTTAAAAAAAATCATAAAAACTGCTTCTTTATAAGGATTTCCTGTATGGAATCTACCTTTCCTACATTTGGCTGGTCTGATTCGCCACATGTTAACCCATTAAATGATACAGTCAGAGAAGGTGCTAATATTAAAACGCACTAAGCTGTTATTCCATTCTGAGAGAATGATGGTTCTGTTGGAACTATACCCCAGCATCTGACTCTCACAGAAAGTCACCCAATAGTCTAAAGCGGAAGTGGGGAACCTGCAGCCTTCAGCCACATGTGGCCTTTGAGGTCCTTAAGGTCTTTTGACTGAATATAAATTTTATAGAACAAATCCTTTTATTAATAGATTTTTGTTCATCTTTTATATTTTTAAAATGAACAGATTTAAAATACCAAAGAATAAAATAAGTCACAACAAAATAATCCTCCCAGATTGACCAGCACAATTACAACATTAGTAAGCTCTAAGGGCTAAATTGACAGCTGCTACACTCATGATTGCCTTTTAACTTCCCCTGCCTGACTGGTGCCACTACCACACGAGGCTGGTTGGTGAGAGTTTATGGGGGTCGAGTACACCAGTCTATTATCAGCTTTTGACAACAGTGCACTGTGTTTCTGTTTGAAGTGGAATTCGTGAATAGCTGCACAGCTCCACAGTATTTTTTAATTCTGTCTGCTTAACAGCCCATCATGTCAAAGACCAAGAGACTGATGAAGGAAGAAAACACACTTTTTCATGAGGATTGGGAATTGCAATATCATTTTGTTTCTGCTAAAGATAAGATGATTTGCTTGCTTTGTGATACTGCAATGTCAACATTAAATTCAATGCTCATCAGCATTATAACACTCACAAGGACCACAAATATTTTAAATTAGAGGGAGAAGCACGAAAGGTCATAGTGCAGAAATTAAAAGATGAAAAGCAAAAGCAAAGACAATTCTTTCAGGCAGCAACAATACCTGGAAATAATGCCACCGAAGCAACTTATAAAGTAGCTTATATACTCGGGGAAAAAAGGGAAGCCATTCAGCAATGTAGAAATTGTGAAAGAATGCATTGTTGAAGTTGTAGGATGCTTAGACCCTTATAATGTTTCAAAGTACAATTGCCTCTTTCAAGGGAAACTACAACTGATCGGCAGCATGAATTAGTCTTCAACTTAACAGAACAACTTCATGCAATACTTCAAAAGGAAAATATATATTATTCAACTGCTTTGGATGAATCAACTGATACTACTAGCTCAGCACAGATTTTATACTTTATTTGGGTCATAACAGAAGATTTTCTTTGCTACGAAGAGTTACTTACTTTGGGCACTCTTGCAAACAGTACAGAGAATAGCTATCTTCAAAACTTTCAAGATAAATGTTGTGCAGTGGGACTGAATTTGGTAAATTTAGTGAGTGTATGTACAGACAGTGCACCTTCCATGACAAGAAAACATGAAGGGTTTACCGCACAGATAAAAAAAAGTATTAACAGATCCAGATGCTCTCATTTCTTTTCATTGTATCCTGCATCAGCAAAATCTCTGTGTTAAAGCTACTATTAATATGTTAAGTGACACTTTGCTACAAGTTAAAAGTATTGTTAACTATATTCCCACAAATGCAACATGGCATCATCAGTTTTGTAATATGCCAAAGGCGAACACTGAGGTATTCCGTGTGCATTTGCTTTATTCTAAAGTGCATTGGCGGCCGGGCGCGGTGGCTCACGCCTGTCATCCTAGCACTCAGGGAGGCCGAGGCGGGTGGATCGCTCAAGGTCAGGAGTTCGAGACCAGCCTGAGCAAGAGCGAGACCCCATCTCTACTAAAAACAGAAAGAAATTATTTGAACAACTAAAAATCTATATAGAAAAAATTAGCTGGGCATGGTGGCGCATGCCTGTAGTCCCAGCTACTCGGGAGGCTGAGGCAGTAGGATTGCTCAAGCCCAGGAGTTTGAGGTTGCTGTGAGCTAGGCTGACGCCATGGCACTCTACTCCAGGCAACAGAGTGAGACTCTGTTTCAAAAAAAATAAAAAAAAAAATAAAGTGCATTGGCTATTGTAGGGACAGGTGTTAGCCAAAGTTTTACCTCTGCGAGAACAGATTGTTAAATTTTATGAAGAACAGATCAGCAATGTGAATTACTGAAAGAAAGTGTCTATAGGAATGCAGCATTTCTGTGATATCATGTCAAATCAATACAACTTGAATGTTTCTTTGCAAGGTAAAACAAAGTCTATATATGATATGTGACAAAAAAAATCCAAGCATTTCAAAAAAAAGCTATCTTTTTCCAAAACACATCTTCAAAAGGAAATTTTGACCTTTTCCCAGTTAGCAAAGGTCATTAATGAGCAGGATGACACAGGTGAATCATTTGAAGAATATGTAGCTGTTATAGACCTATTAATTGGAAAATACAATGAAAAGTTCACTGACTTTCAGAATCATGACATCACACTCAAATTAGTATTCAGCCTCACCTAGTAGATATCAACAAGGCACCTAAAGAACTACAGATGGAATCGATTGAGCTCTCAGTAGATGACATTTTAAAGTCATTGTTTGATGCTAAAATAGATCCAACTGAAATATGGAAAAATGCAGAATAGTCACACCTTTAGCAACGTACCCAAAAAAAACACTTTCTTGCTTTTCAACAACTTATTGTTGCAAATCAACATTTTCCTACCTAACCCAAATCAAGACACCCTTAAGATCACAAATGACTGATACCCATCTAGAGGATCAACTGTGGACCTCCATGCTGCAACCAAATACTCAAATGCTTTCCGACAAAAAGAAGACACAAAGTCATCAAAAGGTTAACTTTACAATTAATAGTTTTCATTTTTTGAAATTAAGTATATAGATTTTTACAAAATAACGTACATTTTTAAGTATACCTAATTGAAGTTTCTTGAATACAGCCTTATTTGATTACAGCTAAATTAATGCGGCCTTCCAACATGAAAATGTTCCCCACCCCTGGTCTAGAGCATTACATAAAATCTAGGTTAGAAAGCTATTCTAACTGATAATTATTCTTATTTCAGGAAGGTACAATAGGAAGGGCATTAGCTGTCTTCAAGGTATAGCAGGGTTTCTCACCCACAGCACTCCTGACATTTTCAGTAATAATTCTCTGTTGTTGGAGGCTGTCCTATGCGTTGCAGGATGATGAGCAGCACCTCCCCAGTGTGACAACCCAAAACGTCTTGACATTGCCAAATGTTCTGGGGGTCGGGGGGCAAAATTTCCCCAGTTGAAAGCCACTAGTCAAGGATATGACCTTGGAATTAAGTGGCTATGGTTGGGTGGTGTAACTGAGAGCTTTTTTATTGTAAAGATTCATTATGTGAATATTGAAATAACATTGGAGAGAGTGATGGCAGCAGGAACTAAATCTTCAATGAGGAAAGTGACCCAGGGTACAGCTGATGACAACGAGTAATACAAAGAGGTTTGTTCAGTGCTATAATTTGGTGGCATGAAATTCAAAGCTGAGTGCTTTTAGGGAGGAGAGAGGGAGAATGAGAAAAAGTAATGAGAGGCAAGAAGAACATGCATGCCGTGACCACCACACCAGGCCTAGTGGTGAGAGATGAGTATGAACAAGATAAAAAAAACTGATAACAGTAGATGTTCTGAGTGCTGGAATTGCAGGCAGTTTTATTTTTTTATTTATACTTTTCTCTTTTTTCTGATTTTTTTTTTTTAAGCCAAGAGAATTTCTTACCTTA